TCTGATAGGGGTCCAGGAGCTCAGAAAGCAGTTTGATCAGAAAGAGGGTTAGAAAAGTGGAAACAGAGTAGATTATACTGAGAATACGCATCTGTAGTTAAGGGTCTTACAAGGTGCACTTTTGGGGTTCTTCTATATAGATGACTTAAAAATAGAAAAACTTGGGCTGGAGAGATTGCTCAGTGGTTAAGAACACTGGTTGTTCTTGCAGAAGACCTGGGTTTGAATCCCAGCACCCACATAGCAGCTAATACCTGTCTGTAACTCCAGTCCCAGGGCATTCAATAGGCTCTTCTGTCCTCCATGGGCATTGCACGACATGGATGTACTTACTTACATGCAGGCAATACACGAATACACAAAAAATAAAAATAATATTAAAAAAAAAATAGGAAAACTTTAGCCAGACATGGTGACTCACGCCTTTAGTCCTAGCACTCGGGAGGCAGATGCAGGCAGATCTTTGAATTCAAGGCCAGCCTGGTCTACATAGGGAATTCCAGGTCATTTGGGGCTGTGGGGAGACCCTGTTTCAAAAAGACCAGGAAAAAAAGAAAAAAACAAAAAAAGACTGACAAATCAGACCACATGTCAGCACAAAGTTTGTCACTGGCCAGTCAAGACACAGAAACAATAGAAGTTTGTTGTTTGGTTGCTTGTTTTTGTTTTGTTTTGTTTCCTTTATGAGACAAGGTCTCACACAGTAATAGCTGCCTGACCTTGAACAACTCCTCCTCCTCCTTTACCCCCCAAGTGCTAGGATTACAGGCTTGAGTGCCACATCAGTCTTAAATTTTTTCTTTGTTCAGTATCACTAGATAGCTCATCAGTTTTCTGTTGTATATTTGTTACTGTTCCCTTCTCTGATCTTCATTCATCTCATTTGTCTTGTGGTTTTTCTAACTCCATAAGGTAGCTGATTAGTTCATTAAATTTGGCAGTCCTGGGCTAGTGATGTAGTGCCTAGCTTGCCTAGCATGAATGAAGCCCTGGGTTCTACCTCAATATGGCATAAACTGTGTGGGAGCACATACTTGTAATCCCAGGGGTGGGGAAGCGAAGGCAGGAGGATCATAGATTCAAGCCATCTTTGCCAGCATGCCATGTTTGGGACCATCCTGTCCAAAACTTTTTTAAGGCAAAATTTGAAAAAAAAAATTCTCAAGTCTTTGCCAGGTTTTCATAATAAACTTATAAATGCCCCTCTAACTCCTCTCTAAAAAATGTATTTAACAGGGACTGGAGAAATGGCTCAGTGGTTGAGAGCACTGGCTGCTCTTGAAAGGATTTGGTGCCCTCTTCTGGCCTTTATGGGCTTTGCACTTACATATGTGCAGGCAAAACTGATACACGTAAAGTTTTTAAAGATTCTAATGGATAGCATATTAAACACACTTTGAAATAAAATTTTTCCCATCAATTTTGTAAACAGGTTAGTATAACTTAATCACTATTGTCTCAACGTGAAGAAGGTTGCTACCCACCATTTTTGTGAACTGCTTGTTCAGACTGTCATTTACTACTGTGCTGCCAGTTTTTTTATTATTAGGAAGGTTAGCTCTTCCCCTGCACTGTAAGTGGGAAATGCTTTCTTGGTTTATTACATTCCATAAACATCTTTGTGGTTAAATTTTTTTCTGTTGTACATACCAAATGCACATATTCACACACATGATCAAATTCAGGGCCTGGCACATTTTAGACAAGCACTTTACCACTGATGTATATCCCCAGCTTTTATACCAGTCATTTGAACTGAGAAATAAAAACAACTATTAGTGTAAGGTGGCTTGATCCTTTTTAGTAGAAGACGACTCTAGAGGGCCTGGAGAGATGGCTCAGTGGTTGAGAGCACTGACTGCTCTTGCAGAGGCCCTGAGTTTGATTCCCAGAATCCATATGGTGGCTAGGAACTGGAGCTACAGATGGTAACTTAAACTTACACACTTATGCACATAAAATAAAAATAATTTTTAAAAATACGTTATTATGTGTATGAATGTAGTGCCTACATGTAGGTAAGTGCACCGGTATTGTGCAATGCCCATGGAGGACGGAAGACACTGTCGGTTCCCTTGGAACTGGAGTTAGGACAGTTGTTAATTGCCAGGTGGGTGCTGGGATTCGAACCCGGGTCTTCTGCAAGAACAGTCAGTGTTCTTAACTGCTGAGCCATCTCTCCAGCCCCCAAATAATATATATATTTTTAAAAAGACTCTAGAGTGGCTGGGCGTGGTGCTGCACACCTTTAATCCCAGCACTCAGGAGGCAGAGACAGGCTGTTCTCAGTGAGTTCAAGGCCAGCCTGGTCTACATAGTGAGCTTCAGGACAGGGAGACCCTGTCTCAAAAAGACCAAAAAAAAAACTCTCGAGTAAGAGTTAACATAGTGTAGTTTATACCAAATCCCGCCTGCTGCCTGTTTTTGTAAATAGTTTTTCTGCTTATTTGTTGTCTGTCTTCATAATTAAATGTGTAGAATTGAATTTCCCCAGAGGGTATGGCTTAACAAAGCATGAAAAATTTAATTGGTTTTTGTTTTGTTTTTGTTTTGAGACTAGGACTCACTCTGTGTCTCAAGCTGACCTCAAACTCATAATTCTGCTGCTGCCTCTCTCAAAGTAGGTGGAATTATAGGCATGTATCACCATGTCTGGCAGTTATTGACTTTGGGGGTGAGAGGAAGGGGACAGGGTCCTGCCTTCCTAGTTATATAGGTCTAGATGGCCTGTAACTCACAGTGTAGACCAGGCTGACCTCTTTTGACTCTTGCCTCTGCTTCCCAAGTGCTGAGATTACAGATATGTGCCACCACACCTGGGTATTTAATGGCCTTTGAAAGAAAGTTTGCCAGCACTTTAAGAAGGGTCCAGGAGTAGCAGGTGTAAAAATGTAGCTATCATTTCTAGGCCGAAAGAGAAATGAACAGTGAACCAGTCTGAGGACTTCTGAAAGAGTTCTCCAGAGATTGAAATTTAGCCTTTGAAAGGGAATGGCCATCACAGGAACATATAGATTGCCCACGGCAAAGAAGCTTCATCAGGAACTTTAGCCAGAGCTGTTAGATAGGGAGAACATGATCTGAGAGTGCAGTTAGGCCTGACCTTTAAGGTGAATTAAAAATAAATGAGGCTGTGCATGGTGGCACACCCTTTTTAATCCCATCCCTTGGGACCAGAGGCAGTTAGATCTGTGTATCAAGGGTAGCATGGTCTGCATAGAGAGTTCCAGGCCAGCCAGAGCTACACAAGGGGATTCTGTCACAAAAAAAAAAAAAAAACCAAAAAAGTAAAAGTAAAATATATAAAACACTAGAACCCAGTTGCAAATGTTTACCTGCTACTTTGTGTTAAGTGTCCTTTTAGTGCCCTCTGTTGGCAGACCTAACATTGTGTCAGCTGACTAAGAAATGTGTGAATTAGTTCTAGCATAACAGTGAAAGAAGGGTGGTGTGAGAACTGTTAGCTAACACGTTGGTGCACAACATTTAAAGAATAATGGCCAGTAGCATGAACCTTGCAAAAAGTTGGAGATTGGAATAGTTTCTGTATGGAAGTGAAGTTAAAAGAAGAATAAATCACATAATTTGAACTCAAAAACTGACCTTTAGTTCAGGCCTTGAGAGCTGCAAGGTTAATTGGATGCTTAAGAAACTGAGGTAGTTTCATTTAAGTGACCAGCTTCGTAGAACTTCAAGTTCTTTTCAAGATTTGTGTGTGTGTGTGTGTGTATGTGTGTATGAGCACATGTCTCGGGGGTGCTCTATGCATGCATAGAATCCAGAAGAGGGCATTGAATTCCCTCAGAGCTGTAGTTACAAGCATTTGTGGGATGCTCAGTATGTTATGTAGGTGCTGGGATCCAAACTCCAGTCCTCAGGACCATCAAGCTTAAGAAGCACTCAACTGCTGAGACATCTCTTCAGCCTCTCTGCGGTCTTGTCTTTTCTTTTGTTAGAACTTGGGTTTTTAAAAAAAATATTTTATTTTTATTTTATGTGTATGCATGTATTGCCTGCATGTAGATAAGTATACCTGTGTCATGCAATGCCCACAGAGGGCAGAAGAGGCTGTCGGATCCCCTGGAACTGGAGTTACGGACAGTTGTTAGCTGCCACGTGGGTGCTGGGATTCAAACCCGGGTTTTCTGCAAGAACAGCCAGTGTTCTTAACCATTGAGCCACCTCTTCAGCCCCCAAAACTTTTTTAATATCAGATTTTGCAGGAGATAGCATTGTTTTCAATGGAAATTGCTCCCAAATGAGAATTTTAAAAATAAATCTAGTTTTAAAATGATTTAATAATCTGTCATTGCTTTTCTGTGCAGGTGTGAATTTCTCCTGTGTGCTCTTCTCTCAATCTGAAGGACTCTTCTAGCACTTCTAGTAATGAAGAGGAGGAAAATGGGTTTAGGGTATAATTAGAATTTTGGTTTTTTTACTCCTGTCTGTCCTTTTAGTTGTTCTAATATCCCTACCTACCCTCTAAAAATATTTATTTATTTATTTATTTATTTATTTTTTGTCTGTTTTGAGACAGGGTCTCCCTGTAGCCCCAGGTGGCCTGGAACTCACTATGTAAACCAGGCTAGCCTTGAACTCACAGTGATCCGCCTGCCTCTGCCTCCCAAGTGCTGGGACTATAGGCATGCACTACCATGCCTGGCTGAGAATATTCTTAGATTTGTCTAAAATATGTAGCTTCTGGGACTGGAGAGATGGCTCAGTGGTTAAGAGTACTGGCTGCTCTTCAAGAGGACCTGGGTTCAATTCCCAGCACCCACATGGTGGCTAACAACCATCTATAACCCCAGTTCCAGGGGATCTGACACCTTCTTCTGACTTCCACAGGCATTGCACAACATGGGTGCACTTACACACATGCAGACAATACACTCATACACATAAAATAATAAAATATTTTTTAAATGTAGCTTTTGTCTTTGATATTAATCCTTTACGTTTTACCTAATTATTTCTGTTTTACTTTTCCAATTTTGAAGAACCAGCACCGATCTGTTGATCAAGTGATTAAAGCTGTAAGAAAAATCTGTGGTGCTCTGGATGGAGTGGAGACCCCTGCCATCACAGAGGCAGTGAAGAAGCTGAAGCGAGCAGCTAACCTGCCAAGGAATAAAAGTGCTCATGTGAGTGTGTATGGCTGTCTGTCATTTAAACAGAATGTTTGCCTTTTGATAGACAAAATACTATCATTTCAATTTTGGCTTTTACTTTTGAATTGGGTTAGTTACTCCTTTGATTAGGTGGGGATTTCTTGGTAAAATGATAGAGAACTTTGTGAGAATTGACATCAAATAGATGGACTTCAGGTTATCTTCCCTCTGCAGAACCTCTGGCATGAATAAATTAGAGTGGCTCAGTGGTTAAGGCTGCTGTTGTCCCAGGTTCAGTTCCCAGCACCCACATGGAGGCTAATATCTGTCCTTAATTCCAGTTCCAGAGGATCTAGTGCCCTCTTCCAGGGGATCCAGTGCCCTCACCTGACCTTTCTGGGCATTGCATGACATGGCTGTACCTGTGTACATGCAAGCAGTGCACTCATACACATAAAAATTTAAAAAAAGAAAAAATAGATGCTGAGTGAGCCTAGAATGGTCTAGGATGGAAACTTCCCAGTTGGGCTCACTGTACTGTGTACTCACAGTTCCCTGCTGAAGTGACTGAATACCCTGGAAGCAGTCAGAGTCTGGCCCTATATTTATGTCATATGCCAGCCTTTGATAAATGCTCTATCCCATGATGCCTCGATGGCGACTTCATAAATTCAGGTCATGGGAATATGTCTTTGATTGGAAGGAATAAAGAAAAAATGGATCTCAAAGGCCACTGTAAATGCAAAGGAAAGTCATGTGATTGACCGTTTAAGTGTCTAGGTGGTGACAGTCTGCTCATTTTCACAGAATTCTGCCACAGGGCATTTTTCTTAATATGCTTTTAAAGATTCTTTGGCAGCTGTCAGCAGTCATAGTCCCTAATGTTATGCCTGGGACTTCTGTTCTTTTTACTGACTTGTTGGATAAGGAGCAGCAAAGTGGGTGGGGGGGAGTTCACCTTAAGTAATTACAGATAAGAGTTTCCTTGAATCACTGAAAGGCAATGGAGTTGTAGATTATTTTCTTTAAGGATGTTGCTCTCATGCTAGTAGAGTAGCTGGTAAAGAAAACACTATACTTATGACGTATAGTTACAAAATAAGTATTTCATTTGTTTAAATTTGTTCGTTTTCTGTTGTATTTTATGGTAAGTTTTAGTTGCCCTGTTTTTTTGTTTTTTTAGGGTTTTTTTAGTTTTTTGCTATTATTGTTTGTTTTACTTGTTTGTTTTTGTTTTGATAAATATCTCAGGCTGTCCAGATTGGCCTTTAACTCTCTATGTAACTAAGGATGACCTCATCCTTCCTCCCAAGTGCTAGGATCCATGCCTGGCTTTTTTTTGATATTTTGAGACAGGGTCTCACTCTGTAGTCCAGGCTGTCCTTAAACTCTCCAGGTCTCCTTCATTTTCCCAAGTGCTAAGAGTACAGACACGAACCCCCAGCTTGTCCTAATCTTCTTGGTATTAAAAGTCATTTATTGCCAGGCTTGGGAGGCAGAGGCAAGCAGGTCTCTGTGGGTGCAAGGCCAGTCTGGTCTACATAGTGAGTTCCAGGTCAGCTGGAGCTGCAGGGGGACCCTGTCTCAAAAAGACCTAATTAGTTAATTAATTGATTGATTAAATAGATAAATTAATTTACTAAATAAATGTCATTTATTTACTTGATGTTTTTCCTCTATACATGTGTAATACATATTTGTGTGTTCATATGTATATGAACTACTCTGCAGTCTTTTTAAAGACAGGGTCTCTCTCTCAACCTAGAGCTCATTTTGATTTGGCTATACAGTGAGCTCTCTGTCTCTGCCCCTGACTCCCTCACTCACAGTGCTGGGGCAATAGACTCACTTTTTCATGGGTTCTGGGAAGCTCCTGTGGCTGCTTGGCAGATGCTTTACCAACTTATGATTTCACGGGGACCATTTCTTTGCTTATTTATTTTTCAGACACTTCTGGCAGATTTCTTCTGAGAAGGGTTTTTTGTTTAAAGAAATTTATCAAAAGTAAAGGTTTTTCTTTTGTTGTTGGTTTTTTTGCCCACCTATCACCCCATAATTTTGGAGGTGGAGGTTGGCGGATCCAGGAGTATAACAAATTGACATTACTAATGTCAGTTGCTAATTGATATATATATACATATATATTTGTAGGTGACTTCGTTATCTGGAGGAGATATTAGCAGGAACTCAGCCAGAGGTATGTCTTTAGATTCCTGAAATTTTGGCAGTTATTGTTGCCTTTTCAGAGAATTCTATTAACACTTTCTTTCAAACTAGGCTCACTGAATTCTGAAAATCCTGTTCAAGTAAGCATGGACCAGTTAACTGCAGCAATTTATGATCTTCTCAGGCTCCATGCAAATTCCAGTAGGAGTCCTGTAGACAGTACCCAGAGTAGCAGGGGCAGTAGGGAAGCGTGGACTACAACAGAACAGCTCCAGTTCACTGTCTATGCTGCACACGGAATTTCCAGCACCTGGGTATCAAAGTAAGTACCTGTGTAAATGAAGACTTGCACAGCTTATCTAGGAGTGGGATTTTTGTTTAAATGTATGATGCAAAGATCATTGGAGCCTTTATAACTTTATAGTTCTTGTAAAATTACAGAGATGTTTGAAGCTATTGCAGTAAAAATGTCATTCCTACACATGATTTTTAAAAAAGCAAGAACATATATGATGAAACTTAAAGAGTACATGTTAGCTGATTTAAGATTATTGGGCTTTTTTTTTCTGCTTTTCCTTTAGAATCAAGATACTTTGAAATAAGAAATAATGGACCTAGATTTCAAGGTGTTTCTCCCCCCTTTATTGTTTAGTCTACTGATTGCTAGTCTTTGAATTCTACAAGAGTATATTCTGTTGAATTTTTGATATGAACTATCTTCTTTCAATTTTTCCCTTTGATCAATGCCTTTAAGACTTATTAATTTATTTTGCCAATCTTTAATTCAGTATGCCTAATATAAACTGAAAAGTCTGAAATGAAATTTTTAGGGGATGAGAGGATTGAGATAGCGTTTCCCTATAGTCCCAGCTGGCCTAGAACTCACTATGTAGTCCAGGCTAGCCTCAATCTCGAAGAGATGGCCTATGTCTGCCTCTCAAGTGCTGAGATTAAAGGCATGTGTCACTATGCCCAGCTGAAATAAATTTTTTAAAAAGATTTATTCTATATTATGTATGTGTGTTTGCCTGTATGTCTGTCTGTGTACCACATGCATGTTGTGCCTACAGAGACAAGAAGAGGGTATCTGATTCCCCTGAAACTGGAGTTACAGATGATTGTGAGCCACCATGTGAATGCTGGGAATAGAACCCAGCAAAGGCTCTTAACCACTCTGTGAAAGGAATATTTTTACTGAAATAGTTTGATGCTATAAAATCTAGTGAAGTTACCAATCAAAAATATTTCATAAGTTGAGCATAATGTTGCAATGCCTTTAATCCCAGTACTGGGGAGGCAGAGGCAGACAGAACTGTGAAATAGAGACAGCTTGGCCTACAAAGCAAGTCCCAGGCCAGTTGGGGCTACCGGGAGACCCTGTCTCAAAAACTAAATGAGAGATGGCTTAATGGTTAAGAGCACTGCCTGCTCTTGCAGAGGTCCTGGGTTCGATTCCCAACACCCACATGGCAACTAACAACTGTCCATAACTCCAGTTCCAGGGGAATTTGATGCCCTCTGACCTCCAAGGGCATTGCATGACAAAGGTGCACTTACATATGTAGGCAATACACTCGTATACATAAAATAAAAATAATAAGTAAAATACTATAAATAAATCCTTATTTGGGGGGAGGGGAGATTGAGACAGGGTCTCCCGGTAGCCCCAACTGTCCTGGAACTCACTATGTAGACCAGGCTGGCCTTGATCTCACAGAGATCCACCTGCCTCTGCCTTCCCAGTGCTGGAATTAAAGACGTGCACTACCATCTTCATGAATAAATCCTTCTTTTTTTTTTCCCTTTTTTTTTCCTCCCAAATTCATATCAGATGGGTAATGTGCCGGTGTGTAACAAGGTTTGAGGGCAGCAGAATAAATTCTTCTTAAATAGAGCTTCAGATAAAAATAATGTGACTTAAATGGTTTTAAGTCATCTAATGAGTATTTTCTGAGCCTCTTTTGTGGGTAGAGTTCTTACTGTTGGGGATTCAGTAGTGAACAGAAGAGCAGTGCCTTTCTGGAACCAAGTTTAGATGGGTACTACTACCCTGCCCACTTCTCCTTTTCTCTTTCTTGCTTTTGAGATAAGTCTCTTGCGCAGGCTGCTGAGCTTGAGTGATCTTGCACTACAGCATCCTAAGTACTTAGGGTTACATGTGTATGCCTCCATGTCCAACTGAAAGAAACACCACAGGCAAATTGTGTGGAATTGATTGTTTTGGGTTTTTCTTTGTTCCTGGGGATCCAACCCAGGGCCAAACCCAGCTCCAAACCAGTTTCAACTAATACCCAAAGGTATGAGTTTGCATGCATATTATATACATAAAAACAGAAATAAATCTAGGACCACTACTGAGGACAGGTACACAATGGAAGTCAACAGAAGCAGTGACAATTAAGATGTCAAGTTAAGAAACACAGTAGTTCACATGGAAAGAAGCGAGCCAGTGAATTAGACTTGAAGTCTGTTTAGAATGAAAAGGGTTACATGATATGTCAGTGTTGCTTAAACATTTTCCACTTGTAACCCCCTTTCAATCCCACATATATAGGTATATAAAATAGTACAAGAAGGACCAGAAAGATGACTCAGTCTTTAAGACTGGCCGCTCTTCCAAAGTACTTGGGTTCGATTCCCAGCACCCATATGGCAACTAATAACCATCTGTAACTCCAGTTCCAGGGTATCCAACACCCTCTGGGCTTTGAGCTTTGCACAACATGGGTACATTTACATATATGCAGGCAAAGCATTCATACACATAAAAAATAAAAATACACACACACACACGTATATATACATTTAAGGTATTTGGACAAAAAGGTACCAGGGTTACAGGGATGGAGAACCATCAGAGAACATGGGTGAGGTGGTTGCTAAGGCTCTGAAAAGCCCTCTGGAGAGGAGGGCATACCATCAGCACCCACTATCAGCCTACTGTCCCCCAGGTGACTGTGGTCCGGAACTTGGAGACCTATGGTCTAGATCCATGCTCAGTGGCTGACATTCTCCAGCAGCGATGCCAGGCCAGCACCATTGTCACTCCTGCCCCCGGGGCCAAAGATAGTCTGCAGGTGCAGATCCAAGGAAACCAGATCCACCACCTTGGCCAGCTATTGCTTGGTGAGCATCCCCTCTGAAAAGCAGAAACATTGGGCTAGCTTGGCAAAAATCTCCTACTGACTCAGTTGGGCCTGCTTACACATCTCTACCATCTTTTGACAGTGGTACAAAACTGATAGACATTCAAAAGAAACCATAACTTCAGGTATTAAAAAAGAAGTTATTAAAAATTAAAAAATGATTAAAAATAATATAAAAATTAATCAATTTTAAAAATAGGTATATAAATCAAATGTTTTCTGATAATAAATTTATTTAAAAATGGTGCTTTGTACATATAATTTTATCATTTAAAAGGGAAAGCAAATTGGCATACTAATGAGATGAATGTGCTTGTTTAATTTTACTTAAAAAATAAATCTTAGCCAGGAATGATGGCACATGCCTTTAATCCCAGCCCTTGGGAGGCAGAGGCAGGCAGATCTCTGTGAGTTTGAGGCCAGCCTGCTCTACACAGCGAGTTCCAGACTACAAGGAGACCCTGTCTCAAAAAGACCAAAAAAAATCTTAGCTGAATAGCTGATGCAACAGGACACAGCATCTTCCACATTTTTCAGAGTTGATATTTTGATTTTATAAATTGTTGGTGCTGAGAACACCACTTTGCATAAATAACAGTGCAAAATGACATTTCAGAATTAGAAAATTATGTTCTAATTGCATTTCAAAATTCATTACCATTTTTCTTTTTGAGACAGGGTCTCCCTGTAGGCCCAGCTGGCCTAGAACTCACTATGTAGACCAGGCTGGTCTGAAATTCAGAGATCCACTGGCCTCAGCCTCTCCGTTTACCATTTTTTCATGAAACTCAAAATCAGCAGCTCAGACAATTTTTTATATATATATATATATATGTATATGTATATATGTATATGTATATGCACATGCATATATATGTTTTGTTGTTGTTGTTGTTTATTTTGAGACAGGGTCTCCCTGCAGCCCTAGCTGGTCTGGCCTCAATCTCACAGAGATCCACCTGCTTCTGCCTCTGCCTCCCAAGTGCTGGGATTAAAGGTGTGCACCATCACGCCCAGCCTCACAATAATTTTTGATTTTTTTTTTTTTTATGAGTACAAGTGTTTTGCCTACATGTATGCAAGTACATCATGTGCATGCAGTGCCCATGGCACGTGGCGGTCAGAAGAGGGCCCTGGAACTGGAATTCTAGGCTGTTGTTAGCTGTTCATGTAGGTACTGGGACTAGAACCCAGATTCTGTGGAAGAACAGCCAGCGCTCCTAACTGCTGAGCCATCTCACCAGCCCCACAAACCACAGTTTTTAAAGTCAAGCATTCTGACAATAGCACACTAATTTTTACTTACATGCTGCCATTCGTTTCCTAAGAGCAGAACACGTGTAGAGTAAAGCACTGCAGTTGCTTGCATGCAACAGTTTCAGATCTAAGCTGACTGCTTTGAGACAGCATTCATGGTGTTCAGTAGTGTGGCTGCATGTGCAGTGTGACGTGTGTGTGGTGTGTTCAGAACTAAGGCTGCAGTGAAGTGGCATGAATGACAGGTGAGTGCTGCCAGAAACACCTTAGGTTCAATTACATGTTTGATTTTGAATTACTTTTTGATTGTGTGTTTAGAAGCCTTGTATTGTTGCTGTTTTTTTCAGTTGCTATATTTAGTATAGAGTCAGAACCCAAATTTAAGAAGCCACGTATATAGGGCCAGCAAGATGACTCAGTGACCTAATTACCCGAGTTTGACCACATAGTGGAAGGAGAGAACCAGCTCCCACAAGTTGTCCTCTGACCTCCATATGTGCACCTTGGCCTGCCTATGCCCATACATACTATGACACTAAATAAGTGTAATTTAAATTTTTTTAAGTTATGCATTGAGCATGTCTGTACTTCCAGCACTTAGAAGGCAGAGGCGGGAGGATGATTAACCAAGGTCATCGGACCTTGTCTCAAAAAGCAACCACTACCCAACTCACCCCTAAAAAAGCAGCTGTGGATGTGAGCAGAATACTTAGCATGTGAACCTAGAAGTAAGTTAGAATATAGATAGAATGCAGTTGCATGCAAGACTTCAAAGGCTGCCTTGCTGTATCTGTACATGAAGCAGTTTGGAGCCAAGTCATCGCTGTCCAATGAAAGAATATAACAGCATCAGTGAAGATGTGCTTAAGCCAGGCCCATACACTGTTAACATGCCTGGCTGAATCTTTTTCAGTAATATAGAAAAAGAAACTAGCACCACCACCACCAGGAAAGAATAAACCAGAAGAAACTAAGCAAGTAAAACCCCGACCAAAAGCAGGAACAAAAAATGAAAATAGCACCAGGCGTGGTGGTGCATGCCTTTATCCCGGCATTCGGGAGGCAAAGGCAGACGGGATCTCTGAGTTCAAGGCCAGCCTTGTCTACATAGTGAGTTTCAGGCCAGCTGGGGCTACAGGAAGAAACTTTTTAAAAAAAAAAAAAAAAAAGAAAAAAAAAAAAAAGGAAAGTAATGTCTGTACTTTCTAGAAAGTGAATAAACACATAGTTTGTAGGCATTCAGTTGTGATGGACAGTGACTGACGGAGCTCAACACTGAAACAGCCATCCAGGGCACTGCTCTACAGTCCCCTTGAGTAGCTCTTTCCTCCTGTATCACTCCTGGCTTTTAGAATCCGCAAAGGTTGAGACTTGGGTTTCTAAATGGTGACCAATTTGCAGGTAATGGTCACTTGGGGGAAGAACTCCTAATGTATTGCTTATGTTCGTTACCTGGATTTCTAGGCTGGCAATACAAGTTAAGCTCTTTCTTTTCTCAGTTTTGAGAAGTACTATCTGATATGCTCCCTGTCTCACAATGGGAAGGATCTTTTTAAACCTATCCAGTCAAAGAAGGTTGGCACCTACAAGAATTTCTTCTATCTTATTAAATGGGATGAACTGTAAGTAGAACTTTTTACTTTTAAAATTATTTCACTGTGCCTTGTTGTTTTTTTCTTTATTTTTATTGCCATTTCCGTTGAAATGTAGTGAATTACTGATATCTTCTATACACAATTCTATGAAACAAACCAAAATTCTCATTAAGAAATATGAAATGCCCCTTTGAAGCTGCGTATTATTAAATTGCCATCACATGCTGTTAATTCTTCCTAAACTGTCATGTCAAAGATAGATTTGCATAGAACTCTAGAAAAATGGTGTTCTATAAAACTGCTTACTTCAGTGTTTATACCACTGTACAAGGATCCAGCTCTTGATTAATAGACAAATGAACTGAGGTTATCTTAAATATATGTACACAATAATATTTTGTAGCCTTTTGGGGGGGGCGGTCCTTTCTCCCTGTAGCCCCAGCTGACCTGGAAGTCACTATGAACTCACAGAGATCCTCCTGCCTCTGCCCGAGTGCTGGGATTAAAGGCATGCGCCACCACGCTCGGCTACATTAATATTTTTAAATATTGTTCTTAACTTTGGAAACTTCATTATTTAGAGAGATAGTTGCAGGACCTCTTGCTAGTCCATGTTTTTTTTAATGATTTTCTATTTTTCCGTTACTATTTTTTTTTTAATTTGTAAAGCTAATGTGAAGGTGATCAAATAATACAAAATTGCATTTAGGATAAAAGGGCTAATTCTGTTTTCAACACATTTTCTCAAGAGAACCCTTGACCTCCTCTGTTCTTTCAAACTTAGAGGAAATGCATTAAATAAATATTTCTATTTGTGTATGTGTGTACCTACTTACATACTAAAATATTCACAACATTCATCTAATTTGACTTATGGAAATGAAAACTAATTCTATTTTGCCTAAATATAGAACTTTAAATCTATATTGTGGTACCATTTACTGTCTTAGTTTGTTTCTTCATTGCTGTGACAAAACACTCTGACCACTACCAACTTGGGGAGGAAAGGGTTTATTTGTCTTATATCTCCCAGGTCGCAGTTCATCAGGGAGCCCAAGGTAGGAAGTCAGGGCAAGAACCTGGAGGCAGGAGCTGGAGCACAGGCCATGGAAGAATGCTGCTTACTGACTTGCTCCCCTGGCCCCTGCTCAGCCTTTCTTATGCAACACAGGCCCACCTGCCCAGGGGTGACACCACCCACAGTGGGCTCTGCCCTCCCACATTACTCATCAAAAGATGCCCTCTGACTTGGCCACAGGCGAGTCCAATAGAGGCAATTCCCCAGTTGAGGCTCCCTCAACCCAGGTGTGTCAAGTTGACACTAAAGCTATCCAAGCACAATTGACCCCTTGTCAACTTGACACAAACAAATCACTATTAAACCATAAGCTTTCCAGTGCTTGTCCCCAAGATAATGATGTTAACATTAATATCACAACATAAGACAGTACAACCTTAAAAACCCCACAGTCCCTAAAAAATCCAAACACTTAAAAGTCCAGTCTCTCTTAAAAGTCTCAACTGTATGTGGGCTTCTGTAAAATCCAAAACAAGTACTGTCTTATTTCAAAGGGAAGAATCGGGCACACCTAAGCAAAACCAAAGTCCAGCAAAGTAGCTTGAGGCTGGACATCTGGGATTCACTCACGATCTTCTGGGCTCCAAAGGGTACTGGCAGCTCCACTGCTCTGACTCTGCCGTCC